TTAAAAATTAAATATCACACTTTCACTATTTTTCAAAATTTTTTGATCTACTCAAAAGGCAAAATGATTTATTTCTAAATACAATTCATGAGTTTAACAGTCTGTCATAAAATAAATAATAGTAAAATCAAACATGATTTAATTACCATTTATAATAAATTTTGAGACACTTAATAAGAGCTTTTATAATATATAAAGTTACTTTCATAATAATGTTAACTTTAGTATAACTTTCTTTTTTACAATCTAGCATATCTGATTCATCATTAACCTTAAATAGACTATATTAGAATTAGAAGATTAAGAAAAATGTAAATAAAGAAAAATATGAATAAAGAAAAAAATAACTTACAAATCACCATAAATTTTACTAATTTTATATATGTATAAATTGAATTCTAAATTTATGTATCTTTTTATATAAAATTTATACATTTTATTTGAGTTATTTTAAGTCATTTAAATATAAAATGAAACATGTAAATTATAGATGTAAATAAATAATATCTATACTAATTATCTTTTCACTTCAGTGATAAAAATATTAATATCATCTTTCAGATTAGAAACTTTGAGAATGATTTTATAATTTTTTTTCATGAATTTATGTTTTTTAACGGTAAACTAATCCTGCATATGAGCTGAAAGATTAATTAATCTTAACATAGCATATCTTAATGTTGCTCTTTCTATTGCTATTAATGTTTCTCTACTCTTTGTAGATTTTGTAAGTTGCAAAATATTTTTGCTAAAAATATCCTTTATAGCTTATCCAGATGGTAGAACTCACTTCTCTGCTGTGGTTGATATGCAATTTACAATATTATCTAATGGAGGAATTTCTTCTTCTTCCTCTTCTATTAATGATAGGAATCCATCCTCTTCATTTCTAGCAGTGAAGTCTGATTATAATGGTAGTTTTGATAGGACTATACCATTAGAAAATATATACCTACATGTGACTTTTGCTAAAATAAAAAAAATCAGAAAGATTTTTAATCTCAAACTAGTTTCGTATTATCATGTATACTTTCATAAAATATGTAACGGCAAGCTAATAAGTATCAATGAAAAAATAAATAATTACAGGCTAGAGATGTAAGTTCTGATACTGTCTAATGAGCATTTATTAAACAGAGAATGAGAATTTGTAAATTTTATGAAGAATCTCATTATTAATGCCAATAGATAAAATTTTTTGATATGAAATTCATAAGTAACACATTCTGAATCAGAATATTTTTTTTATCAAGTGCAATTATTTTTGATATGCACCTAATCGAAAACTTAATTAAAATAAACATTTGAATTAAAAATACATAGATTTAAAAGTTATTACTGATTAAATCATATTTTAGAAAGGTTGTTCTTTTTAATTCACTGTGATATGACTCTATGGTATTTGTTGAGATGACTTGTAAAAGAAAAGAAGAATGTTATCATGCATAAAATACTCATTGATGCATATTTTTTATATAGTTTCTTAAGATATACTTTTTAATAGTTGGATTTGAATATTTATTGATTGCTTCTTGAATAAGATTTTTACAACTGATCTTAGTCTTTTTATGCATAGCATTGATCATTTTTTGTCAAGTCTTTTTTTCATAAATTTTACTCATCTAGGTATACATAATATACACTATGCAAAAAATAATATTGCATTCTTGTTTATTATTCTTAAGATCTGAAAAAGCCATTTTAATGGCATTATATTTTATATTACTTTGGTCAGAGAGAAAATATCTTGAATTCTAATGATAAATAAATTGTCTAATTATTTTTAAACTCATTGTAATAGTATTACTATCTTTATTATTTACAAAAAAGTGAGCCCTAATATTCCAATATCCATAATAATTATGAATATACAAGGTGAATAATCATATCTATTAGTCTTATATATAGAGTTTATAAGAGTTAGCCAACCATATTGCTCAAGATATTAAGATAATTAAGGTAAATAAAAATGAAATTATAAGTAGACAAGTTAGGAATTTCATAATATTCGACTAAGTATCCTTATTTTTCTAAGAAAGAAATTGCATTTCGAATATCTAATTCTCTTTTAAGATTACTAATAAGATGTGTATCAAGAGGTCTGCATATCTTATACTTTATATTTGTAATCTCCTTTTATTTTAACTCTTTTACACATTCTTCTAGGTTTAGTTTTTCAGTTGCAATTTCCTTAACTGCACTAATAATTTCTGGTGATCAATAATTCTTTAAAACTTCTTATATAATTAATTCCCAAATAATCTATAAGCGCTTAAGTTTTTCACTTTTCTCTAGAGAATGTGAATGATCAAGTAAATCCTTAAATCGTTCAACTCATATTTTCTGTTTAGAAAAATAACGTTAAACTTTAATTTTTGCAGAATATATCAGCTTGTTAAAGCTTTTTTATATAATATTTTTCATTTGAAATACTTTCTTTTTAGGTATTTGATTTATTATATTTTTAAATTGACAAATAAAGACTTTTTATGAGTCATCATTAACATTATTTTTATAGCTAAATTCAGTTTATATATTTGATACATGAGGCTATCACTCTTTATAAAACTCCTTTATTGAAAGTTCAAGTGGTTGGTTAATATTAAAAAGAAGATCCTGTTTTTAATTTTTTGATATAGGTATATTTATTGTATTAGAAGTAAACAGAATAATAGATAGGATATTTGCAAAGTGTTTAATATTAAACTTTAGCTTAATTTTTTTTAGTTTTATTTAGGGATTTTTTTAGAATTTTCTTTAATAATCTTCAAAAAAGAAATTTCAAAGAAAAGAAAAAAAATTACCAAAAACTTTGTTTACTATATTGTAAAAAGCGTGTATTATTATTTTTTTTGTTATGAATTTAAAATGATTTTTACCATTTGTTATTTTTAAAAAATGTAATACTTATATTTTAAAATGTAATGCTATTTTTAAAATAGAATACTATTTTTACTTTACATAATATATTCAGATTCTGAATTACTAGTTAAAAAATTACATGATTAAATACGGCTTTAGATACCTCTTTTAAGTGATATATTATCATATAATATAATTATATTACTCACTTACTAATTGTTCGCCTGTGATATTTTTTATTGATATTTTACTGGATTTACTATCAGAGTTAAATTTTTTGTGAAGATATCAATATAACAAAATTACTGTGATATATTAAATGAAAATCATATCGTAAAATATTTAATATATTTTATTTAATAAGCCTGATATAAAAAAAAAACATTTTTTAAAATATTACATTATTATAAGTATAAATAAAAATTTATTAAAGTAAATTAATATTTGAAAGTGATAATTATTAAACATCAGAGCCTTTTCTTTATTACTATTATTGAAAAGCATATTAATTGGTAAATCTTATAATTCAAGATTTATAATTTGTAATAGTTTCTTATTTTAATCTTGAATTTGTTACACAGGAATAAAATTTCTTTTTCAATGTCAGTATTTTTGGATGTTTTAGGTTGTAAACATATTAAATTTTACAGTCTTCTTTGAAAAAAAATTGTAAAAAAAAAATTATTTATAATATAAAAAATAGTACTTTTATGTCACAATAATATGTTATTTACATAATTCATGTAATTTTCTTATCATAAGTATTAGTAATCAGGAAATATAATAGTTATTTACCGTTCAATTGCTGATATTATTAGGATCACAGCTGCACTGTGATGTCTGATGATATCTCTGATTTTGCAGTAAATAACTAATATATATCATATGATGATATACTATTTAACACTTAGTAACAATATATAAAAATCCTCCTATATAGTTACTTTTATTATAATCATAGTTTTTATTTTTAGTTCTAAAAATATAACTATAAAGAGGAATGATTGTATATAAAAAAATTTTAATGATTTTAATAATTTTAATTAAACTTTAATTATTTTTTAATTTTAAAATACCTAAATTTGAATATAAATTATTTTTTAGATATTAAATAATAATAATAATATATATATATTATTATTAAATTTTATTATTATCTATAAAAATTTAATTAATTTTAGATAAATTTAATTTTTTAAATTTAAATGATATCCGTTGCACACGGTAATACTTCTTTTAATAGGTTAAAAATGAAAAAATTTTGCTTAAAATTAAAAACGTTTAGGTTAAAGTATAAAAATCAAACTCAAATGATAAATCATAATTTCACGTGTACGAATTTGTGTAACTTTTATTGTATTAAAAAAATGGCAAGCCAAAATTATTTTTAATTGCACGATGACTAATAATTCAAATTCAAATAACTTCAAATTTGTTTAAAGAAAATCATGGAAACAATATTTGGTGTACACCATGATACTGCTAGTTTAAGAGAAAAAAATCGCAAGAAGCTCTATAAAAATGATAGTCAAGAGCAGCTTGGTTTAACGAATAAGAATAGTGTAGAAGACACTATTCAGAAGACGACACAAACAAAACAAGAGCCTTCAAAATCTTTTGAAAAACTTGGGTCTATTCATTCAATTTTTAGAGAGAGATTTTCTAAATCACCGATCGTTTCTCCTCACGTAACTCCACCAGGCTCTCGTCCTTCCACTCCGTTGTCATTTGATGTGCAACAAAATGGCGATAACTTTTTTGATCATATTGATTCTAGTTCTCAAACTCAAACGCAAGCGCCGCCTTTTCACCACGATGCTACATTCATTCAGAATGTAAAAAAATTCCCTTGTATAGGAGTTATTGAAGGTGATATTATCAACCGTCCTTCTTCTCCTTGGAGTTTACAAGCAAAAAGTGGGAATGAATTTGGGAATGGAACTGAAAAGAATTTATTTAAGAAGAACTAATATATAAACGGAGTTGTTTTTTTTTTGTTTTTTATTTTTCTTTATATATAAAGTATATTTGTATAATAAAATGTGGATGAACAATTTTTGTTATAATGATCCAATTAAAATTATTTTATTACACAATATAAACTAACTCTTGAGATTATAGTAAATTATTTCGTGAACATGACTGCAAATCCAGCAGAAGTTATTTCAAGTGCTCAGAAATCTACCTCACAGCTTCTGTTCTTTGACACATTAACAGCAAGTAATTTTAGTAGCGACGAACTTCCAACAGAATGCATTAGATTTCACCAACGTGTCGTTTTGTCTGAGATAAGGGTAGTTCCAAAACATTTCCGTCCGTTTAAAGGCAGTCGTAAAAATGATCATGTAGGGTGGGTACTTTGAAGTCGCAAAAATTAATTATCTACTTTAAAACTTCTAATGACGTATTCGCGTATATTATTGAAATAACTAACCAAGCATCGAACTTTTATAGACAGACTTCCCCTAATAAATTTGACCTAAATCTTCTTATTCATAAAACTCTTACTGCCGATTCAGCTAAACCACCAGAAAAGCGACCACCAACTTTACCTTTACACCCCTTAACAATTTCTTTCGACGAAAAGAAAGGATTCCTTAGCTATGATGTCACTCTATTGCCTGAAGTGAGTATTTTAGTTGTTATTTACATTATAAAATCATTATTCATCATATTTTAAACTTTTAAATGTAGGCCACTACGCGTTTTATAATACTTCGTGGAAATTACCAACATGTGACATTATGTATTTATGGAAGAGTCATGGAAAGTAGCAAGCCTCAAAATATAAAATCTAAGGATAAAATAGGTGCATCTACAATTTGCAAAAGTTAACACAATAAAAAAAGATAACTTGGATACATTTTTTCTTAACGGAACTGATTTAACTAATTCTGAACCATTCGTAGAATCATCATCAACGTCAATCATGGGTAATAATATAGAGATAAAAGTTGAAGAAAATTCACTTGGAAATATATCTATTAAAAAAGATGATGATAGAATTGATGAAATGGACTCTACCGAACCTCTAGAGACTTTTAATCATGATGTTATAATGGACGGTGTTCAGGAAGAACAAAATACTCCCGTAACAGACTCTTCATCGGTTCAAATTCTTGACGAGTTAAAAGCTACTGAAGGACAATTTGTAACAACAATGGAAGAAGATGCATTCTATTTAGATGATGGACATAGAGATACTAACTCTGATGCTGATAAGTTAAGTACATTGTTGAACAAAGATCGTGCTGGAGCTTTCAGAATATTGTCTCCTGCAAATGCGGTTGACTTTTCTGTTTGGAATTTGGATGAAAAATTAAATAAAGATATACTTGTGGTAAATAATATACGACATTTAAGTATTCTTTGTTATTAATATTTGAATATCTTAATGAATTTCTTTTTCCCTCACTCTAGTATCATACATCACCGGATGAACCACCTTTATCACGAGCTTCTAAGCCGATATTCAAAAAAGCTTGGGATGAACTTAACATTTATGAGAAACAAATTCATTCGTTCTTGTCTATGATGGATATTGAAAATAAGATGGATATTAACTCTTATACTGAAGGAACTTCAATTCCATTTGAAGAATTGCTCCATCAACTCAGCAATGTAATTGTGGAAGGATTTCTCTGGGCAAAGTGCAATATGATTCAATATGAAGGTAAGAATTTTTTTGTTGGTTGTATTAACATTATGATTATTATGATTTTGACATTGTCTTAACATTATCCTTTATCATGTCTTAGACGAATTGAATACAGTATATAAAGGTGTACTGTTCGCTCTTGATATGACAACAGGAAAGGTGAACAATCACAGATTGTTTTTTTTACTTAGAAATGATTGATGTTCCACGCATACAAAGTTGATGCTGGCAATAATTTACCAGTTCTAATTTCATGTGACGCAATCTGATAGTCTACCGTGAAATTATTTGAAAATGGCCTAACGTTGTTCTGCAAACTGTGTTCATGTGGTGAAGAGATAATTAATTCTTCAATGGTAAATAGATATAAAATATTTCTAACGCTCTTAATTTTCATGAAGTGTAAATTCTTATAAATTATAATATTTAGATCCAGACCTGCCTAAACCTGATGGTATCTCTTCTAAAAGAACAGTTTGTGTCGTCAACTTTGCAAATTATTATACTGCGCGGATTATTGGAGTGCATAGGAGAACCGCGAGTTGCTGAAGAATTCTTGCGTTATAGTAATAATGATGATAATACAGGAAATACATTATACAAAACTTTTATTTTACCTATGTTACAAATCAAAAATCTGCCTTTGCGCATTTTACATTTACTACAAGCTATCGTACACAAAGTTGCTATTTATGAAGCCTGTACAAATCTTCAACAGTTAGCGGAAGAAAAATTACAACCTGGAATGAAAATGAAGAAAAAAGAAGAATCATCGAATAATTTCGACAATCAAAAAATATATAGTATTTCGAATTCAAATAACAATGTACAGAAACTAGAGGATGTTGAATTGATCATCGATCGAGTGTGCAATTGCTTACATATCGTTTCTAAAGCAGCTTTATATTATATGGCTTTACATTCAGGGGAAGATTCCAATCAAAATTACCCACCCATCTTTTCTTTTAAGTATCTCACTTCTTGTCACTTTTTTCCAGCCATTACAATTATTATGTCATCGCACCGAGTGCGTTCGTGTTCGAGATTTCATGAAATTGTGAATTCTATCGGTCGATTATGCGTTATTTTAATGGGTGCTCCGATTAGCATGCTTTATCTGGTCAAACAATTACAACAACCTAATGAATTATTTGGTGACTGTTTATTAATTATATGGTCAACAATTTTACGTCAACATGATGGCATTTCAATAGAAGATTCTTCGGAACCCTTTTCAAATTCTTATCCGATAACAGATATAAATGAATTAAGACGAACACCAGGTATTGGGGATATATGGTTTGGTTTTGGTCAATCTACAACAGGTGGAAATTATGATGAGGATTATGATTATATCTGCGATTATAGCGAAGATGACTTTACCTTTACAAACAAAAAAGATTATGAGGATTCTGTCTTGAAAAAGGCACGGCGGATTTTGAGTATGCAAAGCTGTGGTGCTATTGGTGCAGAGACAGGTTCTTTGGATAATTGTATTATTCCATCCGATCAATTAGTAATATTATTGACATATCAGCTACATGCTGTCGCTATTATTGAAAGGTTATTGGAATATGGAAAAAGTGACAACCATACTTACGTAGAATATGCCAAAATATCGAAATTATTGAATTATTTATTTGAATTGACCACATTTAACGTTGGAAAGCAGGTCACTATTTTAATTCCTTAATGATTACGATATTCGATAAGCTCCTCACTGCAAGAAATATAGTAATCCATGATATGATGACTTATATTTTACATTAATAGGCCGTAGCATCTGCAGTTATTTATCTCGATGCTCTATCGACCATTTTATCTCTTGCGAGTGTTAGTCCTGCACAAGAATTTGTATCGGCTTCCGTTTCAAGTACTGACTCTAATGCTCTAGGACGTATTCCTTTGGAACTTTTGGAAATTATTATAAAGTTCTCTTCGTCATTTCCATTTTTATTAACACCACAAATCCATGAACTTGTGAATCCTTTTATTTCTTCCGAAAGTCACTTACGTTCATTATGGGATCCAATTGCTGCCTTTCACGAAACTGGAAACATTCAAGGAGTTATCGATGTTATTAAACATCAAAAAGATTATCCTGAATGTTTAAGAGATCATAATTCTGTTAATCAAATACTTGTTTCGCTTAGGCTTTTAATGTCATATACATATAATGAAAGTGGTATTCTGCATATTTTGAAAGCTCGGATGGATGACTTTAGTGGTTTTGATAATGGTGACAGTTTTTTGGTTTTCTTATTAAGGCTTTTAAATCACGCTGCCGAAGTTCTATCCGATTTGAGCGATTTTGTTGTTTATGCAGATGCAGAACATCAATCTACATCAGAATACACTTATACATCAGATGGCTTAAATTCTGAAAATCATGACGAATCCAAATTTCAAGAAATGTCAAAATCCAATGGAAGTATATCTGAAAATAGAAATGATCATTCAAATAATAATGCACCTACTTTTATACAGTCTATCGAGGTCTTTGAACTTCGAAGAGAATTACTTGATCTAGTTTGGTATAATTTAATATTAATACGTAGACTTCTTCGATCGGTTTATGGAGACCCTGAAGGAAGTGCAGCTAAAAGACATTTCAGAGATATATATGGTGAAAATGAATCACCAGATGACCCTTCACCATCTCAGAAAAAATCGATGGTTCGAATTTGTGTTGAGCCATGGCTCATGCTTGTGTCTGCTTTAGATCATTTAGACGGACGTTTAAGTGACCAACTCGGAGCTACTTCATTAATAAGTAGTGATCAACCATTGAAAAATGGACAATCTGCACAGATTGCACGCATTCGTGGTCTTATTTTAGGTTTATTTGGTTTATTAACTCAGATTGTTATTGAAGAAAAACCTATACAACGTGAGGAAGTGCGAGGCATAAATTATAGAGCTCGTTTTTTCTCTGATTTTACTGGTCGTCATGTGGTTAGGCAATTAGTTGATTTTATATTTGATGGACCCAATAATTTCCTTAGCGGATTGCATATTTTAAGTGAGATATTACCAACACCATTGCTTTCTCAACGTTTCATTAGAAATTCACATTGTTCTGCGGATAATTCTATAGAAGGAAAATTAGGAAAATTAGAAAGTGATGATTTTACTATTAATTGGCAGCAAAGTCAACAGGAGGCACGTATTTTACGAGATTATTGGATTAAGCAATTACTTCCTTTACGCGATGATTTAATTTACCTCACCAAAAGTATAGCTCCTTCGAGTTCGAAAATATTGCATATGATGCTTCGTACTGTCATATGTCAATTGGTTGATTTAGATTTCTTGGATATTGGTATAGGAAAGGGAATAGTAGCTGTTATTGTCAAAGGCGTAAGAGAATCTTTTGAGCAATTCAAATCGCTTATTGAAAAGTCAGAAAAGCGGAACGTCAGTATTAATATTGCTATTGATGACTTGAAAGGGGAAGAATCTGAAATGACGAATGATGATATGACCATTTCTTCAGACATTCATATTAAATTAGCAATATTTGGACGATGGATGAGCCTTTTGACGTCCTTATGTGGGACCTCATCCGGAAGGTCATTACTTCTTGATTCTGTAAACAGTATAACTGATGATGCTATGATGTTAGATGATGGTGAAACATTAGAAAAAACACGTAGCCTTGTAAAAATCTTGTTGGATATAATTCCATCTATCAATAACGAGAATTTTATTTTTATTAGTGATATAATTATGGAATTTTTTTTCTTACTATGCAATTCTGCAATAACTACTTCGGGAAGAAATATGCCCAGATTAGATGATCTCTCCATCATTATAGATAATTTATTAGAATGGGCAAAGCAGGACAAAAATGATCGAATTCAAATTCGTTCACTTTTAATTCTACAGAAAATCGCAGAAACAGAAATAGGTGCTTTATTTATTCTTTCAAAAAAAGGTTACCTTCAGTTAATTAGCAATATGATGGCTTGGGTTCCTGATTTGCTTCGATCACAAGATTTACGAGTACAAGACCTTACTATTGCGTACCGTTCTATCATCTTTATTCTTACAATAATAAGATTTGTTTTTCCTGAACAATTGCGAGACGAATTCCCCTTTTTAAAAGATAATTTGGGGACTTTACCTGTATTATTTGACTCATATAAAGATGCTGAAATAATTCTCAATTTGTATGAAAGTATTGAGCAGCATATTATTGAACTTCCATATGAATCCCATAATATAGATGAAGAGATGGTGTATGATCATTTATGTCAGTCTGTAGTTAATGTTATCAAAAGATTTAAAGATAATATACTTGTCTATATTCGAGAGATTAATGAAAATGAAGTGATGTTAAACATTGATGAAAATTTAAAAAAATTTAATATCAGAATTTCCGAAGTTATCAATGAGCTCAATAGTTATAATATTTCCATAAGGAAAGAAGTTGGATCCATAAGCATTGGTGTAGTTATCGGTAAGTAATTAATATATTATGGTTTTGAAATTTATCAAATCTAAATCTAACATGATATGACAATTATCCAGATGATTATCCGGATTTCCCATTTTATGATATTGTAGATGATTTTGGCGTTGGCGGATTATTTAGCTCTCCTGATATAGAAATAGATTTTGAAGTTTTCGCCAAAGAGATGTTGCCAAATTTCCAATTTCACAAAAAAATGAAAATTTCTGGTGATAGCGCAGCAAAAGGGAGAAAATTGTTAAAAACCCGCACTTTGAGTAAGCTTGGTGGTATTGCATACGAAAGCAATGCTCGAAGGAATTTGGGTGGGGGTAAGACTTATCAAAAAAATGAGTTTCGAAGCATCCATAATAACAGAAAAGCCAATACCAGCCGCCCTCCTTCGGTTCACGTTGATGATTTTATGTCTGGGAAGATTCCAGTCAATCAACAACATCCTGACATGTTGTCTACAACGACCGCAACAACAATTCCAACTATTCCAACTACAGTAGCTATTCAACAAAAGAAAACAAATGCCACGAATCGTGCCCAACCTCAGAATAAACGAGGTGGAATAATTACTGCTACCCCTAACACTCAATTGACTACTAATAATAGAGGACGAGGTAGAAGACCCAGTACAGGTTCGACATCGGTACAGCGAGGTGCTTCGCGTGGTGCTAATAATAGTGGGCGAGGCGTAGGTGTAGGTAGAGGTAGTAATACAACTGCAGGTATTGTTGGTGGTTGGGATATGGGAAGTGGTACTTGGACTCCATCCATACCAATAATAATGGGACCACCAATGAATAAATATATGGAATTTGAAAGACGGATTGAAGGTCAACGTGATTATACTCGATATGAAGGTCAAACGATGCGTACTGGATATTATGATAACCAATATTATAGCATGCCTTCTCCAATGACTCCGTATGATCGTCCTCCAGTACAGCAATCAGCTCCTGGAATGGGTCCTCGGATTAAAAATGGAAGTGAACCCAGACGAACTGTTCCACAGGAATGGGCACCGCGTTCCATGACTTCTCAGCCTACAAGAAGGCCGGAAAGACCATTTGGTAGAAGATGATTTTTATCTAATTTATTTATTATTAATATTTAAAAAAATATTTTTGAATATTTTTGTAATTTTATTTTAATATATAAATAAATAAAATGCTTCCTTTCTATTCCACATTAAATATATGTCAAAATTATATTGGATTTATGAAAATTTTTCCTAATTTGTTGTATTATAAAATAAATCTATTTTTTTTTTGATCAATCTTAATCAGTGAATAGTATTTACTAAAATAAGAAAATCATATCAGTTTCTTTGTATACATAGATTTATACATATTTTTTGTAAAATATAGATATTTTGCAATAAAAAAGAGAGGACCAAAAAAATTTTTTTTTGAATTAATGTTATATCTGGATTTATTTTACTAAAAAATAATAATATTTAGCTTATAAAGTAAAAAAAATTTTTTACTATAAAGTATTTATATAACTTAATTAAAAAAGAGTTAAATAAGATTATATTATAAAAATGTCTATTAAATCAGATATTAATAATTTTATTTAGTTTATAAGATCAATTTCTATTTTATTTATTTAATTATTATATAAAGATATATATAAAAATTCTAATTTAATAATAAAAATTGTAAAAAATGTAAAAAAAGGATTAATTTTACATTTACAGTCAACTTTTGTTATAACGAACTCTATGTCCTAGACCTCAACTTCGCTATAAGGCTATAGTGAAGATTTTAAGAGATTTGATTGGCCAATTCGCTATAACAAGAGTATTTTTATTATATTTGTTCAAAAAATTCATTATATCAAGAGTTCGCTATATCAAGAGTTGACTGTACTTCTAATACAAATTCACTATAGTGAATTTGTATCACAGTCTGTACAAAAATTTAAAAGTTAAAATTTACCTTGAAAATAAATTCTACTGATTTATATAATAAGTAATATTATATAATTATTTGTTAATAAAATCATCATATTTCTTTTTTGTTTAGCATTTATTTGAGAAAATTTAGGTATTTCTTTAAAATAATATAAAATATAATACACTTTCTTCTAATAGTTCTATTGATTATAATAATGTTTTATATATCTTTTATTTTAATACTTTTGATGTTTTTAATGAGAACTTTAATTATATTTTACTATATTATAATCTTTTTAATAATGATATAAACTTTTTGTCAGACTCTGAGCTGCTACTCTTTAACAATAATGTTAATAATATATAACATTTTGAACTATTTAATGATATTCACGATTTTGATATTCTCAATTTAAATTATCTTATTAATATAATCTTATTGTAAGTAATTATTTTAATGATTAGTTATCTATTGATACATTTATACATTATACTATTTAAAATGAAATTTTGATTATCAAATATTTCATAATGATAAGGATCTGAAAGATTCTAATATTATCTATTATAAATCATTTTGATATTCATCAATTGGTATTTATAAAGTTCAAAAAATGATTGATCATACAATACACTATCTACTTGATATTATCAAAACAAATTGCAAATAGTACTACAATTTTATTTTCTGAAAACTATAAATCAAGTAAAATGTATTTTATTAATAAGTATACATAATTATAAAATAAATTTCACTTAAATATTAGACATTATTGTTAGATATACCTTTATTTAATTCTGTTAAATTATCAAAAAATGCATAGGTAGCATCAACTACTTATTTAATATATTCTAACACATATCTACTGCTACAATTACAATCAATTTTTACATATCTACTATTACCATAATAAATTTCTACATATCTACTATCATCATAATTAATTTCTATATATCTATTATTATCACAATCAATTTCTACCTATCTGTTATCATCATTACAATTAACTTTTACATATTTATTATCATTATATCCAATAATAATTCTTTACTAACTGTAACATTAATTTCAGAATTAGATTTTTTAAAAGAGTTAAATGCAATTTATGAAGAAGAAAAATATATTCAATATTTAGAAAATTTTAAAAACAATGATATTTAGAATAAATTTAATTTCAAAAATTTCTGATAAATAGTAGGAAAACAAGTTGAATATAACTTTTTTAGAATATATTTTAATATTTAAAGAAGTAGCAAGTAAATATGCTTAATATTTAAAATTTAGCAAATTTATTAAATTTGAAGTTTGATTTTTTTTGCAGTTTTTTTTTTTGTTATTAAATATCAAATAAATTTTACATAATAAAGATTCATATAATAATTTATAAATATTTATATATATATATATATATTTTAAATAATTACAAAATTTATAAAATTAAAAATCATATAAATAGATTCTGCAAAATAATTTTTTGCTATATTAGAAGAAGTTTAAGATAAAGCATATAAAATAAAACATTCAGAATCTTTACAAATTTTAGCAAAATCTCTATATCTTTTAAACTAAACTTTAAATGATGAGAAAGCTGTCTTAATAGGATTAAAATCTGAGGAATATAAAGATAAATAAATTACTTTTTCACTAATTTTTTTAACTGATTTTACTAATACTTCATCATGTTAGATCCTTACATTATCTATAATTATTATACTGTTTTTTTTCAGAAAAAGGATTCATTTGAGATATCTAAAATATAAAATATATAAATAAATTAATATATTATAAATTATACTTTTTAAATAATTAATATACTGTATACTAATACATTATCACTTGATTAATAATAAAAGCCTGAAAAAGTTCTTTAGTGCAACTTCCCTCAATAACTTTAGCTGTAATTAATTTATCTAATGTTAAAGCAAATAAAATAGTATATTTATTACCTCTTATAAATACAGTAGATTTTTTTATTCTGATATTAATGGTAGAATAACCATAGAATTGAGTTAAAGTTCACTTATCCTTTATAGTTTTATTTATAAAAATTAATTGTTTTAGATTAAAATCACTTATTACAGTAGCGGTCATAAGTATCCGACCGCCTCTAACTCCGGCTACAAGTAAGTAAATTCAAAATTTTTTTTTTT